CCTCCGGCAGACTAGGCCTAAGTCAGCCTAACTAGGGGCTGGTACAGGGCAAGCCTGAGCCAGCCCTAACTATAAGCTTTATCAAAGAGGAAAGTCTTAAGTCTAGTCTTAAATGTGGAGACGGTGTCTGCCTCCCGGACCGTAACATGTCACTTAAAAGTCCTGTCCAATCAAGTTTTGAGACTTGTGTCTCACTGAGGTGTGAGGTGGGAAGAACAAAGAGCAAGTAGAGAAGAAAAGCCTTCACATATCCAGTTTAGATTTTAACAAATGACAAATCATCTGTGGTCCTGTGAATCCACACTGTAATCAGTTACTCATTGCACATTACTGAGTGAAAAGTAATTAAATTACTTTATAAATTCAACAATAAACTGACATAAACTAAATACAGATAAAGTCTTACATGACTCGTCAATCTCGTTAAACAGCTTTAAATCTTCCACAACCTCATCACATCATCTGACTTTAACTGCAGCTAGCTTAGCATTAGCATCAGCTGTTCAGACCATGGATGTATAAAAAGACCTGGATACAGTGTTGGAGGCGGGGCCTCGTTCATTCCTGTGACAGTTGTTTAGTGAAACCAAAAACACTCTTTGTCTGTAGTATGAAAATACTCCGACGATCAGCGCTGCCTCCACATTATTGGACCCACGGAGCAGACACACTACAGTTGTCCACCAACTGAACTGCTACTTCCTGTTTAGTGCTCCGCTAACCTGAATGGAGATGCAATGATTTAATCTTTGGCTCTGAGACTCTCCAGATGTTCTCAGACTGAATGGATCAAACACTGATAGTGAAACGAGACGTTTCTCTGAGGTTGTGACACTAAAAATAAACGTGTCCACTGATTTACAGACATCTCTTTAACAATTGGAGTGTCCATGACATCACGTGATTAACCAGGAAATTGTATTTCCATGTTTGGTCACTACAGTGGCTTCAAAGCTCGCCGCCGTTCGAGGTCTGACTCAGACCCTCAGATTCAGAATCAAACCTGCTGAGTCCTGGACACGTGGCCCCTCCCTCCGTCAGGTCTGCAGATACGTCCTAACACTGTAGATCAGTGACATCATCAGTGACATCACTGCGGTCCTGCAGGACTGAACTCGGGGCAGATTGAAGTAAAGCAGCGGCTGCAGGGCTGTGATTGGCTGAAAACTGTGTGAAGAACTGATGTTAGACTGGTGCAGGAGCGACTCCTCTCACCGCCACCCACAGGAAATACTTCACTGTTTATTTTCTTCTTCAGTGGTCGACCCACATTCCTCACACACACACGCTCAGTCAGACCTCTGATTGGCCCAAATCCCCAGATTGGACGACTGGATTCAGTCGTTTTATTTTCCTCTGAAAGACGAAGAAGAAAAACACACACACACACACACACACACACACACACACACACACACACACACAGTGACACACACACACACACAGAGTCAGAGGAATGTGTTGAGGTCTGCTCTGACCATCAGAGCTCTGACTGGATGATTTAAACAGACTGTTTGTGTTTCACTGACAAATTTCAGAATAAAAGTCCTTCAGTCAGCAGCTGTTTGAAAAACACCACATTTCCCATCATGCCCTGCCCCATAATCAGACTGTGTTACAGTAACTCTGTGAAGAATTTTACCCAGAAACCTGAGGAGCAAATATATAAATAAAGGTTATACTGACTGTGCTCCAGATGTTTCACAAACACAAAGAGCTGCTAATGTTTCTCTGGTTCGACCAAATCAGACTTTTAATTTGAAATCTCTCCTTGTTGTTGTTGCTCAGGATCAGCAGCCATGATGGCGTCCACTAGAGGACAAACAGGAGGTCTGAGTGTGCTGCACTTCCTGTTTGGTGGGTAACATGTCAGACTTTAAATGTGGACTGATAGCTGTCTGTCTGTCTGTCTGTCTGTCTGACTGACTGACTGACTGACTGTCTGTGTGTCTGCAGGTGTGTTCCTGTTGTGTCCTGATGGAGGTGTCTCTCTGGAGCTGCTTCCTTCAAACCCTGAAGTTCTGCTGAACTCAAACTCAAACTACAGTGTGGTCAGTAAACACTTGTCTGTCTCTGCAGGTGTGTTCAGGTACCTGTCTGTCTCTGCAGGTGTGTTCAGGTACCTGTCTGTCTCTGCAGGTGTGTTCAGGTACCTGTCTGTCTCTGCAGGTGTGTTCAGGTACCTGTCTGTCTCTACGGGTGTGTTCAGGTACCTGTCTGTCTCTGCAGGTGTGTTCAGGTACCTGTCTGTCTCTGCAGGTGTGTTCGGGATGGAGTCAGGTGACGTGGCGGTTACCTCAGGACACTCAGGTGGACGGGGTTGTTGTGGAGAATCAGGGGTCCAGCAGCGTCCTGCAGCTCTTTAACGCCACCTGGAGGAATTCTGGGAGATACACCTGTGAGGAGGCGTCGTCCTATCAGAGAAGAGACGTGGACATCTTCATACCTGGTCGAGGTGACATGATATTCATCATGTAGCCATGACGTCCGTCCAACTTGTGAGACACCTGTTGTCCTGACCCTACCTGTCCCCCCTCAGGTCCGGAAGAATGGTTCGTCCCGCTGGGTCCAGGTGTGGTGATGAAGGAGGCGGAGGAAGACACCATCCCCTGCGTGGTGTCCGACCCGCAGCTCAACGTCAGGCTGTACCAACGTCCCGGCAGGACGCCAGTTACCGGGATGACATACGAGCCGGGCCGTGGCTTCACGGGTCGTCTGAACGACACGTCATACGTGTGCGTGGCCTCTCGCGGAGACGAGGAGACGGAGTCACAGGTGTACTACGTCTTCAGCATCATAGGTGAGTCCATCAGGACGAGATGAGAGGACGCTAATGTCTCAGCACCTGATCTGTATGTCTCTCTCTCCACCTGTCTGTCTCTCTGTCTCCACCTGTCTGTCTTTGTCTCCACCTGTCTCTCTGACTTTGTCTCCACCTGACCTGTCTGTCTGTCTCCATCTGACCTGCCTGTCTCTGTCTCCACCTGACCTGTCTCTGTCTGTCTCCACTTGTCTGTCCCTCAGTTCCTAAGGTGATGGAGGTGGACCTGACGGTGTCCAGCAGTGTGTTGAAGCAGGGGGAGGTCCTCACTGTCAACTGCACCGTCAAAGACACAGAGATGGTCTTCTTCTCCTGGGACTTCCCCCGAAGACAGGTACCTGTCTCTGTCTCCACCTGTCTCTGTCTCTTTGTCCATCTGTCCGTCTCTGTCTCCACCTGTCTGTCTGTAGTGTCTCGTGTGTTCTCTGTTTAAAGATCTTTTCTGGTGTCGATTCAGGAAGTTGAGCCTCTGACTGACTTCCTACCCAATCGGATTCGCTCCTTCGTCAACATCTCCACGGCAACTGTGGCAGATTCTGGTAGGTCACTGATGTAACCCTAACTCTAACTCTCCAGACAGACCGCGCTGAGGGAACTAAAGTCGTTCAACAGATACAACGAAATCACTGACATATATCAGTTGCTATGGTAACATGTGGTTTGTCTCCTGGGTAACCAAGGTGACGGGGACGTGTGTGTGTTTCCTGTAGGTGTGTATGTGTGTGTGGTGCAGGAGACGGTGCAGGAACGAACCGTGAGGAAAAACATCACAGTGACAGTGCTGGGTGAGTATGCACACACACACGCACACACACACACACACACACACACACACACACACAGGTAAAGTGTGTGTGTCTCTGCAGATCGAGGGTATGTCTACCTGTGGCCATCAGGTGACACCAACATGTCGTCTCTCCTCCATCACACGGTGGAGTTCAGTGTGGAGGTCGACGCCCATCCCGCCCCCACCGTCCTCTGGACCAAAGACAACCAGACCATCCCCAAGGAAACCACCTCTGTCACCACCACACATCTGACAGGAAGCAGGTAGATCACAGCTGATACCTCAGTGGTCACACACAAGCTCATAGCTCGGCTCATCAGCCAAGTCAGACTTCTCGTCCTGTCTGAGTACGTCTGACTCCAACTCGATAGGCGGTGCTGTGTCCTTTTTAATATCGTGCATATTGAGCGAGCTGCGGTTGACTCAAAGAGGAAGCAAATGACGAAAGAAGATGACAGAGATGAATATATGGAAATACCATCCATAAACTTCCAAATGTTGAGCTCCGTCAGCTGTGACTGTCGTTTCCTCGTCCGTCCAGAGGTGCGTCTTCTGCTTCTCGGTCATCATGGTGTTTGTTTGTTTGTTTTTCGGGGAGTAACTGAACTGCTGCTACGACATCTCCTTCTTCTTCTGGGTGAAAGAAAAAGTGATGCATGTGCAGAAAGCCGAGTCTGACTCCAGTCACACTGACTCCAGTGGCACTGACTCCAGTCACACTGGCTCCAGTGGCACTGACTGCAGTCACACTGACTCCGGTGTCAATGACTCCAGTTGCACTGACTCCATTCACACTGGCTCCAGTCACACTGACTCCAGTGGCACTGACTCCAGTGTCACTGACTCCAGTCACACTGACTCCAGTGGTACTGACTCCAGTGTCACTGACTCCAGTCACACTGACTTCAGCGGCACTGACTCCAGTCGCACTGACTGCAGTCACACTGACTCCGGTATCAATGACTCCAGTCGCACTGATTCCAGTGGCACTGACTCCAGTCGCACTGACTCCAGCGTCACTGACTGCAGTCACACTGACTCTGGTGTCAATGACTCCAGTGGCACTGACTCCAGTGGCACTGACTCCAGTGGCACTGACTCCAGTCACACTGACTCCAGTCACAAGGACTCCAGTCACACTGACTCCAGTCACACTGGCCCCAGTCGCACTGACTCCAGTCACACGGACTCCAGTCACACTGGCTCCAGTCACACTGACTCCAGTGGCATTGACTCCAGTCGCACTGACTCCAGCATCACTGACTGCAGTCACACTGACTCCGGTGTCAATGACTCCAGTCGCACTGACTCCAGTGACACTGGCTCCAGTGGCACTGACTCCAGTGTCACTGACTCCAGTGTCACTGACTGCAGTCACACTGACTCCGGTGTCAATGACTCCAGTTGCACTGACTCCAGTCACACTGACTCCAGTGGCACTGGCTCCAGCGTCTCTGACTGCAGTCACACTGACTCCGGTGTCAATGACTCCAGTCGCACTGACTCCGGTCACACTGACTCCAGCGGCACCGACTCCAGCGGCACTGACTCCAGTCACACTGACTTCAGCGGCACTGACTCCAGCGGCACTGATTCCAGTCACACTGACTCCAGTCACAAGGACTCCAGTCACACTGACTCCAGTCACACTGACTCCAATGGCACTGGCTCCAGTCGCACTGACTCCAGTCGCACTGACTCCACTCACACTGACTCCAGTGGCACTGACTCCAGTGTCACTGACTCCGGTGACACTGACTCCAGTGGCACTGACTCCAGTCACACTGACTCCAGTCACACTGACTCCAATGGCACTGGCTCCAGTCGCACTGACTCCAGTCGCACTGACTCCACTCACACTGACTCCAGTGGCACTGACTCCAGTGTCACTGACTCCGGTGTCAATGACTCCAGTGGCACTGACTCCAGTCACACTGACTCCAGTCGCACTGGCTCCAGTCACACTGACTCCAGTCACACTGACTCCAATGGCACTGGCTCCAGTGTCACTGACTCCAGTCGCACTGACTCCAGTCACACTGACTCCAATGGCACTGACTCCAGTCACACTGACTCCAGTCACACTGACTCCAATGGCACTGGCTCCAATGGCACTGGCTCCAGTCGCACTGACTTCAGTCGCACTGACTCCAGTCTCACTGACTCCAGTGGCACTGACTCCAGTCACACTGACTCCAGTCACACTGACTCCAATGGCACTGGCTCCAGTCGCACTGACTCCAGTCGCACTGACTCCACTCACACTGACTCCAGTGGCACTGACTCCAGTGTCACTGACTCCGGTGTCAATGACTCCAGTGGCACTGACTCCAGTCACACTGACTCCAGTCGCACTGGCTCCAGTCACACTGACTCCAGTCACACTGACTCCAATGGCACTGGCTCCAGTGTCACTGACTCCAGTCGCACTGACTCCAGTCACACTGACTCCAATGGCACTGACTCCAGTCACACTGACTCCAGTCACACTGACTCCAATGGCACTGGCTCCAATGGCACTGGCTCCAGTCGCACTGACTCCAGTCGCACTGACTCCACTCACACTGACTCCAGTGGCACTGACTCCAGTGTCACTGACTCCGGTGTCAATGACTCCGGTGGCACTGACTCCAGTCACACTGACTCCAGTCGCACTGGCTCCAGTCACACTGACTCCAGTCACACTGACTCCAATGGCACTGGCTCCAGTCACACTGACTCCAGTCGCACTGACTCCAGTCGCACTGATTCCAGCGTCACTGACTTTAGTCACACTGACTCCGGTGTCAATGACTCCAGTCGCACTGACTCCAGTCACACTTGCTCCAGTCACACTGACTCCAGTGGCACTGACTCCAGTCACACTGACTCCAGTGGCACTGACTCCAGTCGCACTGACTCCAGTCACACGGACTCCAGTCACACTGACTCCAGTCACACTGACTCCAGTCGCACTGGCTCCAGTCACACTGACTCCAGTGGCACTGACTCCAGCGTCACTGACTCCAGCGTCACTGACTGCAGTCACACTGACTCCGGTGTCAATGACTCCAGTCGCACTGACTCCAGTGACACTGGCTCCAGTGGCACTGACTCCAGTGTCACTGACTCCAGTGTCACTGACTGCAGTCACACTGACTCCAGTCACACTGACTCCAGTCACACTGGCTCCAGTGTCACTGACTCCAGCGGCACTGACTCCAGTCACACTGACTTCAGCGGCACTGACTCCAGCGGCACTGACTCCAGTCACACTGACTTCAGCGGCACTGACTCCAGCGGCACTGACTCCAGTCACACTGACTCCAGTGGCACCGACTCCAGCGGCACTGACTCCAGTCACACTGACTCCGGTGTCAATGACTCCGGTGTCAATGACTCCAGCGTCACTGACTCCAGCGGCACTGATTCCAGTCACACTGACTCCAGTCACACTGACTCCAGTCACACTGACTCCAGTCGCACTGGCTCCAGTCACACTGACTCCAGTCGCACTGACTCCAGTCACACTTGCTCCAGTCACACTGACTCCAGTCACACTGACTCCAGTCACACTGACTCCAGTGGCACTGACTCCAGTGGCACTGACTCCAGTCACACGGACTCCAGTCACACTGACTCCAGTCGCACTGGCTCCAGTGGCACTGACTCCAGCGTCACTGACTGCAGTCACACTGACTCCGGTGTCAATGACTCCAGTCGCACTGACTCCATTCACACTTGCTCCAGTGGCACTGACTCCAGTCGCACTGAGTGGACACATGCATCATTATTATTATTATTATTATTATTATTATTATTATTATTATCATTATTATCTGGGGATGTTAGTTACGGATAGGTTCTGTTGGACTGAGCTGATAGCTGCATGTAAACGTACTGACTGAAGGCTGGTTGATTGATTGGTTTATTGATTGATTGATTGATGTGCAGGTATGTGAGCAAACTGACACTGGTTCGAGTCCAAATGGATCAGACAGGAAGTTACACAGCGATCGTTTCCAACGAAGACGATGCCGAGGAGGTCATCTTCAACCTGGAGGTCAAAGGTCAGAGAGACAGACAGTGTGTGTGTGTGTGTGTGTGTGTTTGTTTACTTGTGTGTGTGTTTGTTTACGTGTGTGTGTGTGTGTGTGTGTGTGTGTGCAGCGCCTCCCAAGATCACATCTCTGTCGGAGGTCGACGGTAAGGCAATGGTGTGTGTCAGCGAAGGAGCTCCGCCCCCCTCTGTTATCTGGTACACCTGTCACAGCTCACAAAGGTAAACACACGCATACACATACACACACACACACACACACACACACATACACACAGACACACACACACACCAGTGTGACATTATACGTGTTGCCTTGGTTATGGTGTTCGTCTCCTCCAGGTGCAGTAATGTGACAGGTGGCTGGAGGAGCCTATCAGCAGCCTTGGAGGGCGTGGCTCTACAGGAGACCTTCACTGAGGTGGAGGAGAGAGGCGTCACACAGGTAACCAGTGACATCATCAGTGTGATGTCATCAGGTGATGTGAAGATGACTGACAGCTGTATGTGTGTGTGTGTGTGTGTGTGTGTGTGTGTGTGACCTGTGCAGGTCTGCAGTGTGTTGACTCTGCAGAGTCTCAGCTCGCTGTCAGCTGTTCGCTGTGAAGCCAAAAACTCTGCAGGACGAAGAGCCAGAGACATGCGAGTCGTGTCCAACTGTACGTACTGTCCACCTGTCCTACTGTCCACCTGTCCACCTGTCCAACTGTCCACCTGTCCACCTGTCCTACTGTCTACCTGTCCAACTATATGTACTGTCCACCTGTCCTACTGTCCACCTGTCCAACTGTACGTACTGTCCACCTGTCCTACTGTCCACCTGTACAACTATACATACTGTCTACCTTCCTACTGTCCAACTGTATGTACTGTCCACCTGTCCTACTGTCCACCCTTCCACCTGTCTACCTTTCAACCCTCTGTCCTTGGATTCTGTCCTTGAACCCCCTGCCCTTGAACCCCCTGCCCTTGGACTCTGTCCTTGGACTCTCAGTCCTTGGACTCTCAGTCCTTGGACTCTGTCCTTGGACCCTCTGTCCTTGGACTCTCTGTCCTTGAACCCTCTGTCCTTGAACCCTTTGTCCTTGGCCTCCCAGTCCTTGGACTCTCTGTCCTTGGACTCTCTGTCCTTGGACTCTCTGTCCTTGGACTCTGTCCTTGGACCCTCTGCCCTTGGAGTCTCAGTCCTTGGACTCTCTGTCCTTGGACTCTCTGCCCTTGGACTCTCTGCCCTTGGACCCTCTGCCCTTGAACCCTCTGTCCTTGGACTCTCTGTCCTTGGACTCTCTGTCCTTGGACCCTCTGTCCTTGGACGCTCAGACTCTCTGCCCTTGGACTCTCTGTCCTTGGACTCTCTGTCCTTGGACTCTGTCCTTGGACCTTCTGCCCTTGGACTCTCTGTCCTTGGACTCTCTGTCTTTGAACCCTCTGCCCTTGGACTCTCAGTCCTTGGACTCTCTGTCCTTGGACCCTCTGTCCTTGGATGCTCGGACTCTCTGTCCTTGGACCCTCTGTCCTTCGATGCTCGGACTCTCTGTCCTTGGACTCTCTGTCCTTGGATCCTCAGAGGAGTGGTCTCTCTACAGGATGGACAGACAGTAATCTGTAGTGATGTACATTATTTATCTGTGTTCTTGTCTCTCTGTCTGTCCGTCCTTCTGTCTCTCTCTGACCTCCTATCTGTCTCCAGTTCTTCTGTCTCAGGTCACAGTGTTGGCGGTCGTTCTGGTTCTGGTCATCCTCGCCGTTGTTTTCCTCATCATCCTCATCCTCCTCTGGAGAAAAGTCAGTACTATGACGTACTGTAGTTTCAGTGTTACAGTAATTTATAGTTTCAGTGCTACAGTAGTTTGTAGTTTCAGTGTTACAGTAGTTTGTAGTTTCAGTGTGACAGTAGTTTGTAGTTTCAGTGTGACAGTAGTTTGTAGTTTCAGTGATACAGCAGTTTGTAGTTTCAGTGATACAGTAGTTTGTAGTTTCAGTGTTACAGTAGTTTTTAGTTCAGTGTTACAGTAGTTTGTAGTTTCAGTGCTGCAGTAGTTGTAGTTTCAGTGTTACAGTAGTTTGTAGTTTCAGTGCTGCAGTTCTTTGTAGTTTCAGTGTGACAGTACTTTGTAGTTTCAGTGCTGCAGTACTTTGTAGTTTCAGTGTGACAGCAGTGTAGTTTCAGTGTTACAGTAGTTTGTAGTTTCAGTGCTGCAGTACGTTGTAGTTTAAGTGTGACAGCAGTGTAGTTCCAGTGTTACAGTAGTTTGTAGTTTTAGTGCTGCAGTACTTTGTAGTTTCAGTGTGACAGCAGTGTAGTTTCAGTGTGACAGTAGTTTGTAGTTTCAGTGCTGCAGTACGTTGTAGTTTAAGTGTGACAGCAGTGTAGTTTCAGTGTTACAGTACTTTGTAGTTTCAGTGTTGCAGTAGTTTCTAGTTTCAGTGTGACAGTAATTTGTAGTTTCAGTGTTACAGTAGTTTGTAGTTTCAGTGCTACAGTAGTTTGTTGTTTCAGTGTTACAGTAGTTTGTAGTTATAGTGTTACAGTTCTTTGTAGTTTCAGTGTTACAGTAGTTTGTAGTTTCAGTGTTACAGTAGTTTTTAGTTCAGTGTTACAGTTCTTTGTAGTTTCAGTGTTACAGTAGTTTGTAGTTTCAGTGTTAAAGTTCTTTGTAGTTTCAGTGTTACAGTAGTTTGTAGCTTAAGTGCTGCAGTACTTTGTAGTTTCAGTGTTACAGTAGTTTGTAGTTTCAGTGCTGCAGCAGTTTGTAGTTTCAGTGTTTCAGTAGTTTGTAGTTTCAGTGTTACAGTAGTTTGTAGTTTCAGTGTTTCAGTAGTTTGTAGTTTCAGTGTTACAGTAGTTTGTAGTTCAGTGTAACAGCAGTACCTCAGCAGAATCTTTTATTTGACCCAGTTCTTCCTGTTTGTTAGAAACCTCGTTATGAAGTTCGTTGGAAGGTGATTGAGTCGGTGAGTCCTGATGGACAGCAGTACACCTACCTTGACCCCGCCCACCTGCCCTACAACTCCACCTGGGAAGTACCACGAGACAACGTAGTCCTAGGTAATACTCTGAGTAGTAGGTACTGATACTTCTTAATCCCCACAGACAACTGTGGATCAGAAATCTCTGATTCTGTCTGCCTGTCTGTCTGTCTGCCTGTCTGTCTCCAGGTCGGGTGTTGGGTTCAGGTGCGTTTGGTCGTGTTGTCGAGGCGACTATCTCCGGTCTGCTTCACTCTCATTCTACGACTAAAGCAGCCGTTAAGATGGTCAAACGTATGTACCTGTCAGACTGATTATTGATTAACTTCAGTCCTGAAATCAATTCTGTAACGTCATCTGTGTTTCTGTGTATGTGTGTGTGTGTTTGTTCAGCCAGCAGTGGTGCTGTTCAGTCTTTGATGTCGGAGTTGAAGGTGTTGGTTCATCTCGGTCCTCACCTGAACGTGGTCAACCTGCTCGGAGCGTGCACCAGAGGAGGTGAACACTTGGATCCTGAACTAATCCTTACTGAACCTCCTGAGACCCTGCGTCCTCACATGAGAACATTGTCACAAAGCGGGCCAGTTAGTGGCAACAAGGGAGTCCACACATGAAGTACCAAATCAAAATATAATTTATTACTAAATCATTTAAGTTGAAATTAGATCAAAATAAACCAAAAAGTATGAGTGGGATTAAATGTTAAGTGTCAGTCATGTATGCAGTGTATGGGTGAGTGGAGTGTGCTGTGTCAAAGTGTTGAATGCAGGAGGAATCAATACTTAGTTCCCCATGGCAGGTGGAAACCAGCAAGCAGCAAGAGGGAGAATGCCAGTTTAGACAGCCCTTCAATACCCTGGTCCACATACACACAGGTGAGGCAAATTGGCCTGAAAACCTGCCCACAACTTCCACCCAGGGAAGTGAGAAAGCCAGAGAGCAGGCAGAGGAGCAGGCCGTCACAACGTCTCATTCTGGGTTTCATCCTGTTTCACTCAGACCTGTTGTCCTCCATCATGGACACTCTCTGTCCCACCTAGTGGTAGTGAGACCACAATACACTAATTCATGTAAAAACAAGATGGCTGCCATCTCTGCAGAGTCAGTCTGCAGCTGATCCTGAGACAGACATGGACAAAACATGATCAGAGTTTATGGTTCAGACTTTATTTATGATAAATAATGTTTGTAAAGGGCACTGGGACTTTATTATTGTCAGACTGTCTCTACAGACAAAAGGACAGACCTTGCTCAGAGTATGGAGCAAAGAAAATTCATCCACAGTTACAAACAAATCACAAAAGATTTTTCACAACAACGTTCAGATATTGAAATTAACAGTTTGATTCTTTATGACACACTGTGTGTTATGAAATTAAACGTACTCATATGAGGACATCTGTTTTTTCTAAAACTCCTTCCTGTTTAAAGACAATGTTAAGTTTTTCTATTCATCAGGTCCGACTGATCCCAAACAGCTCAGAGACATTAAACATTCAGACCACACAGAAGCTGAGGTCTCAGGAGGTTCATCGTCTAATCTTGAGTTAATCCACATTAATCTGATCTAATCTCACAGTTTGTTTAACGAACCAATGAACTAACTAAGTCTTCTGTGAGCTGAGAGCCTGGTGAGATGGCCTGATGTTGTGAGCTCTACATGTAGTTTGTACTAGTCTGGACTCTGACACCTCGGACACTTTCAGGAGGACTCACCTGGATAGACAAACTCCTTCAGCCAATCAGAGAAACAGAACACCAGGAACATCGAGTCAGCTGACAGGCTTTTCTCAAATCTGTCAGAAGAACGATGACAACGTTGTTTCCTCTGAGAAACTCTGTGAGGTCAAACTGTTGTTGTTGATTGATTGATTGATTGATTGATTGATTGATTTATTTCAGGAAGATGATAAGACAGTAATCCTAAGGATGACATGCAAATGTAAAATACTTATTTCCAGCATGGTCCTTGGTGTTTACACACAAGAAACAAATAAACAAGAAGCAGACAAACTCAGACTAAAAATACATACAGTAAAAAGAAACAGCTGTAAAAAACTATCCAATTCATCAATAAATATCCACCTTGTTCCATAAAATCTGCTTGACCTGTCTTTTAAAAATCCCTCGTGATGAGAAGTGTTTTGCAGCAGTTGGCAAACTATTCCATGCCATGATACCAGTGTAAAAGAAAGAGTTTTTAACTGCATTATTAGCTCTAGGAACTATGCAGGAGCGGATGCCCTAGTGTTATGACTATGCTGCGTGTGGAGGGGGGGTGCTTTTAACAGATACTGAATAACATTGTTTTGCGGCACTTGGAATTTTCACCACAGTCAACCCAGAAAACCATGCAGAGGAAGCAAAATCCACATGACATTGAATCAGAGTTAATACCAATAATTTCTTTACAGAAAAATCAAAAAGCTTTGTCTTGCGATATAAAAGATTCAACTTACAGGCACATTTGGCTAAAATTTTGGCTGCAATGGATTCACCTATAAGTGATTGATCCAATGTTAGACCCAAATATGTGACACTTGATTTAGACACAATTTCAGACCCATTACACATCACATTTAAAGTATTTGATTTTATTAACTTCCTTATTGTACCAAACAAGATTGATTCAGTCTTGCCCAGATGCATAGAGAGCTTATTGTCTACAAGCCACTGGTAGGCAGACTCAAACTCTATGCCAAGCGTATTTTCAATGTCTTTAACATTACACCCTGGGACAAGTAAAGCAGAATCATCGGCATATAATAGCAACTTGCACCGTACCGCAGCTGACATGTCATTTATGTATATTAAAAATAACAGGGGCACCAGGATCGAACCTTGGGGCACCCCGCATGTTATACTCTGCGGATCAGAGAGGGTCCCCTCAACATCTCATAGTTGTGTCCTATCCGTTAGGTAAGAAGTGAACCATTTGAGTGCTGAGTTACTAAAACCCATGCACTGTAATTTAGAAATCAAAATGTCATGGTTCACAGTATCAAATGCTTTTTGCAAGTCAAGTAGAAGCATACCAACATAATTCCCTAGATCAAAATTCTGACATACATAGTCGAAGAGGTGAATGAGACAGGTGTCAGTAGAATAGGCAGCTCTAAAACCAGACTGGAGCTCATATAATAGATCATGCCTGATGAGATAATCCTCCACCTGTTCATACACAAGACGCTCAAAAATCTTTGATATAGTTGACAGAATTGAGACTGGCCTATAATTCCCAACATCAGCTCTGCTATTTTTCTTTAAGAGCAGAACCATCCTAGCATTCTTCATATCATTTGGGAAAACAGCCTGACTTATGGACAGATTTATGACATAGGTAAGAATACTAGATGTAACCCCAGCACTATCCCTAAGAAACCTGGAGGGTATTAGGTCTAAGCCAGTGGCCTTATTCACTGACAGGGTTGAGAGGCTCGTTCTTACTTTATTCTCTGAGACAGGACTAATTGCAAATGCATCTGCAGAGACATTTTTACTTCTATAAAAGGAGTTAACAAATGAATTGCCATATTTATCAGAAGCACCTGGCAATTTACTGACCAGACTGGCAGCAACAGTTGTAAAGTAATGGTTAAAATGGCAGGCAATCAGCCGCTTATCAAAAGACATCTCATCTTCAATAATAAGCCCCGTTTTACCAGACTTGGATTTTGATTTTGCTGTTGATCCCATATCATTGAGAATTTTCCATAGTTTTTTAGGCTGTTTTGCATTTGCAGCAATGGAATCAGAATAAAATTCAGACTTAGCCCGTTGGACCTTGTAACTAACTTGATTTCTAAGATTAGCATAAGAGTTATAGTCAGTTGGTATTTTAGACTTTTTAAACTTTATGAAACATCTGTTACGTTGTCTGATAGGATCAACGATTTCAGATGACATCCAACATGCGTTTCTGTGCTTAATTCTTGTTTCCCTCATTGGTGCAACTTTATCAAGAACAGCTATGAAATGCTGCTTGAACAAATCCCAAGCTTTATCAACATCATTACATTCGAGTACATCCGACCAGTTTCTCTCAGATAGCCTTTGATTGAACACCTCAGCAGAGTACTGTTTGGTATATCTGTATTTGATGGAACAATGGTCATTTATTGGCTGAGATTTCATTTTCTTGCGTGTGCAAAAAACTGCATTATGATCACTGAAAGCCACATCCAACACACCTGAGTGTCATATCATTCCACAGTCAGATACTAAAATCAAGTCAAGAAGGGACTAGCTATTAATAGACAACCTAGTCAGCTCAGTAATTAATTGCTGTAAACCAGACACCTTACAGAGACATGAAAGAGACTCTTTTAGGCTACTTCGTGGTAATAATAGATTTGTATTAAAATCACCCATGATGACACATTCTTTCTCTAGGCAAATATTGGTTTTACAACAGACAGATTCAAGGAGTTCATAGAAGTCTGTTTGTTTAGGTGGGTGGTAACAGACACCTACAATGATGGGCTTGGTTTTAGGAAGAATGAACTCCACCCAAGCTGCCTCCAAGCCATCCTCCTGTAGATCATGACGCGGATTCAAAGTTATGTCAGTCCTTATAAAAAGGCACACTCCTCCTCCGTGTCTGTTGCGATCTCGTCGGTAGATGTAATAACCTAAAAGCCCAACTTCACCATCTTGAATAGAACTGTCCAGCCAGGTCTCCGACACAGCGATCACAGCAGCCTTTGAAGTAGTCGCAAGGTGCCCGATTTCATCCAGTTTGGGAAGAAGACTCCTGGCATTGACGTGAATAAAATGCATCCCTTTCCGATTTAAAAGGCCGAGTGAATCATAGCCTCTCCCATCCATGCTATCCTCATCATAAGTCCTCACATCATTTGTGTCATCAAAGACATCGGCGCTGCACATTTCCTGCACACAACACCGGTTACAAACCAGCGGGATATCTGACTTATTTCTTACAGCCTGGTCATACAGTTTTGGAGCAATATTTCCGCACCTTATATGAACAAAAATGTCACAAAAGTCACATGCAACTGCTTTGGCGTTTGCTCTTACCACCTTTCCGCAGTTAGGGCAGCAGCCGCTGCTGCTGATGTTAGGCTTATTTTGCCGGTGTTTCGCTGTTTGCAAGTTTGTAGGGCCTGGACACTGATGGATATCTCCCAAAAGCAGTAGGCAGATTGATAATATTTTGCCGAAGGCATCGGTTGCTGGGTTCCTCCGGAACTTGCTTTGAATGCGGCTTTAGACTGCAAGGTGATCCAGGCAACACTGCCATATCCACAAAGCTTGTCAGCTTTGACTGACAGGCGACAGATTTCGTCCAAACGCTCAGTTCTCAGCTGCGTAAACGTATCATATCCAAAGCACTCCTCAGAATTTTTAAAATGGTGACCTAAAATGCTTAAAAACACAGCATAAACTGATACTGCTACCAGAGCTCCAAACGCACCTGGCGCACCTGACGCCATCTTAAAACGATGTTGTTTACTTGTTGTCTGCAGTAACATCATTCATTGTCGTGTTCACTAATGTCAGAGTCAGCGCCTACAGTGCTGATCCCTGATTGGCTCTGATTGGATTTGAATTATCGGGAAGTGTGTGAGGCGTCAGTGAGTCCAGACAGAGACTGAGCATAGAGCTCACAACATCAGGATGGTCTCACAAGGTTAGAGCTCTGCAGTGATGCCACCCTGTGGAGGAACAGAGAACTACAGCTGATCATACAGGACACATCAACTGGCTCTCTGTCTGTCTGTCTGTCCAGGTCCTGTCTATCTCATCACTGAGTTTTGTCGTCATGGAGACCTGGTGAACTACCTGCAGAGGAACAAACACACCTTCCTACAGAGTGACACACACACCAAGAGGTCAACACACACACACACACACACACACACACACACCTGTCTCTCTATCTCTACCTGTCTGTCTCTGAGGTTGGCGCTGTCTGTCTCTCTGTCTGTCCCTGCAGTGAGAGTGATGGAGGGTACATGGACATGAATAAAGAGGAGAGCGTTCAGTACGTGGCAATGAAGGAGCTCAGCTATGCCGATATTGAGCCTGCGGTCTACGAGACGCCGTACACGCCCACAGGTGATACATGACATATTCTGTGTACAAATACTGTACATATAACATGTGTTTACATTCATGTGTTTTATATGTAGGCAAATTGTGATTTGTGATATTGGGCTTTATAAATAAATAAATAAATATATGTTCAAACTGAAGGATGTCACAGTGTTAAAGACAGGATCTTTATTTTGATCTTTAACGACAGACTCATTAACATAAGCTCTGATCAGGTTTTGTCCATGTCTGTCTCAGGATCAGCTGCAGACTGACTCTGCAGAGATGGCAGCCATCTTGTTTTTACATGAATTAGTGTATTGTGGTCTCACTACCACTAGGTGGGACAGAGAGTGTCCATGATGGAGGACAACAGGTCTGAGTGAAACAGGATGAAGTATAAGGAGCATTAAACCTGTAACTGACCGTGTCCTTCTCCTTCAGACCAGAAGGAGGCGCTAGCTGTCCTTCTCAGTGACTCTCCTGTCCTCAGTCTCAACGACCTCCTCAGTTTCTCCTACCAGATCTCTCAGGCCATGGACTTCCTGTCCTCCAGAAACGTACGTCGCTCAGTCATCAACACTGCTGCATGTTCATGTGTTGTGTGTTCATGTGTTGTGTTGTGTGTTTATGTTTTGTGTGTTCACATGTTGTGTGTTCAGGAGTTGTGTGTTAATGTGTTTGTTGTGTGTTCACGTGTTGTGTTGTGTGTTCATGTGTTGTGTGTTCATGTGTTGCGTTGTGTGTTAAGGTGTTGTGTTGTGTGTTCATGTGTTGTGGTGTGGGTTAACATGTTTTGCTGTGTATAGACACGTGTCACTCTGTTGTCCCACAGTGTGTCCACAGAGACCTGGCAGCGAGGAACGTCCTGGTGTGTGAGGGGAAGCTGGTGAAGATCTGTGACTTTGGTTTGGCCAGAGATCTGACGAAAGACCAGGACTACGTCGCCCGAGGAAACGTCAGTGAATGACTTTGATTATTAATAAACAATCGTAGTTTCATAAACAGACGGTAAAAAGTGCAGCCTGTAATTTTCAGAGCTTCCTGCCGGTGAAGTGGATGTCTCCAGAGAGCATCTTCCAGAACATTTACAGCTCTCAAAGCGACGTCTGGTCCTACGGAGTCTTACTGTGGGAGATCTTCTCTCTGGGTAAACCAGTTTAGACCAGTGCACACACCAGTCCACCCATTCTCCATCTGCCTCACTGCAGTGTGATGTGTGCTTTGTCCCAGGTGGGAGCCCGTACCCTGACCTCCCCATGACCCAGGAGTTCTACTCGTCCCTGAAGAGAGGATACAGGATGAGTCGACCTGATCATGCTTCGCACAACATGTATGACTCAGACTGAGCTCTGCACACTTCTCTTTACTGTCATTATGACATCATCTGTTTCATCTCCACGCCTACTTTGAGTTCATTCAGCCAATCAGGTCACCTGACGTGAAGCTCTGCGCTCTTCACACAGTGGATCCCTTCAGTCTGAGGTGTCCTCATGTCTGTCTCTGTGTGTCCTCAGTTACGACCTGATGAGACAGTGTTGGGAGGAGAAACCTCAGTCTAGACCTTCTTTCTCCTCATTGGTCGTCTCCTTTGGCAACACATTGACTGACGACTACAAAAAGGTACCAAGTCACTTTATTATGATTCGTCCTAGGTGAGTCTGTTCAATCAAACTCACAACAAAAACTTCATTATAGGAAGTCCGACTTGTTACTGTTTCCTGTTTGACACAAACACTCTTTTCCCAAAACCGAACCATCCTTCTCCCCCGTCACAGAGTGTAACTCAGTCTGTCCCCTCTGTCACAGCTGGATGAAACTGCTTCGTTATGGTGGAGGAGATAAATACAGCAGCAGCTTTAGAACAAATTTCCCTGTCTTCAGCAGAAAGACAAACTGCTATAACTTTTCATAACGACAGAGAAAAATAAAACTTCATCACATTTTATGTTCAGGTGTTGTGTTTGATTCTTTCTGGTGTTGTGTGTTTGAGTCTTCCTGGTGTTATGTTTGATTCTTCCTGGTGTTGTGTTTGATTCTTTCGGGTGTTGTGTTTGAATCTTCCTGGTGTTATGTTTGATTCTTCCTGATGTTGTGTGTTTGATTCTTCCTGCTGTTGTGTGTTTGACTCTTCCTGCTGTTGTGTTTGATTCTTCCTGGTGTTGTGTTTCATTCTTCCTGATGTTGTGTGTTTGATTCTTTCTGATGTTGTGCTTGATTCTTCCTAATATTGTGTTTGATTCTTCCTGATGTTGTGCTTGATTCTTCCTAATGTTGTGTTTGATTCTTCTTGATGTTGTGTTTGATTCTTCCTGGTGTTGTGTTTGAGTCTTCCCGATGTTGTGTTTGATTTTTTCTGGTGTTGTGTGTGATTCTTCTTGATGTTGTTTGATTCTTCCTGGTGTTGTGCTTGATTCTTCCTAATGTTGTGTTTGATTCTTCTTGATGTTGTGTTTGATTCTTCCTGGTATTGTGTTTGATTCTTCCTGATGTTGTGATTGATTCTTCCTAATGTTGTGTTTGAGTCTTCCCGATGTTGTGTTTGATTTTTTTCTGGTGTTGTGTGTGATTCTTCTTGATGTTGTTTGATTCTTCCTGGTCTTGTGCTTGATTCTTCCTAACGTTGTTTGATTCTTCCTGGTGTTGTGTTTGATTCTTCTTGATGTTGTGTTTGATTCTTGCTGATGTTGTGCTTGATTCTTCCTAATGTTGTGTGTGATTCTTCTCGATGTTGTGCTTGATTCTTCCTGGTGTTGTGTTTGATTCTTCCTGGTGTTGTATGTGATTCTTCTCGATGTTGTGTTTGATTCTTCCTGATATTGTGCTTGATTCTTCCTAATGTTGTGTTTGATTCTTCCTGGTGCTGTGTTTGATTCTTCCTGATGTTGTGTGTGATTCTTCTCGATGTTGTGCTTGATTCTTCCTAATGTTGTGTGTGATTCTTCTCGATGTTGTGCTTGATTCTTCCTAATGTTGTGCTTGATTCTTCCTAATGTTGTGTGTGATTCTTCTCGATGTTGTGTTTGATTCTTCCTGGTGTTGTGTTTGATTCTTCCTGATGTTGTGCTTGATTCTTCCTAATGTTGTGTTTGATTCTTCCTGGTGCTGTGTTTGATTCTTCCTGATGTTCTCTCAGACACAGCTCTCTCAATCCCTGTTGTTGTTCCTGTGTTTCAGCGTTACCTCCGGCTGACGGAGGACTTCATGAAAGGGGACCATCCAGCTGTTGTTGGATCCAGACTGAGTCCATCCAGAGCTGCTGGTGATCAGACTGATGGACAGACAGACACAGACGGTCAGAGACACACTGACGTCATGTTATTGATCATGTTACTGATCACGTTATCGATCGTGTTATTGATCTTGTTACTGATCATCTTTTCGATCATGTTACTGATCATGTTATAGATCATGTTATAGATCATGTGACTGATCATGTCACCGATCATATTATTGATCAGAGAAGATGAATTCACGAGATCACTCGTGTTGTTAACAGGTAGCCCTGCCCCTCACATTTCAGAGGCAGGGCCAGAGGAGGCAGGCCCCTCCTACGGTACTTACATCATCCCCATCACTGACATCACCATAGAAACCAGCAGAGATGCTGCGCTGGCCGCAGTCAGGTAAGAAGGTGTCTGAGGCTCATAAAGAAGGATCTGTTTTATTACATCAGATTAATGATGACACAACATGTTTATGTTATTTCTGTATTATATTGTTGTTGTTGTTGTTGTTGTTGATAGATTTAGTTTTTATTGTTTAGCTTATTTTGTTTGTTGTTATTTGTGTCTTTGCTGATAATCTGAATCAGCTGCTGTGTGGAGCCCTCTGCTGGATGCTTACAGTACTGCATGTTTCACTTGAAGCAAAGACTGCTGGCAAATCTGGATGATTCATTCATTCATTCATTAATGATCAGAGTCTTTAACTGATTATGCTGATGTTTATTTTCATTTATCTGAATTCACTGATCAATTAGTTTTATTCAAAATTCTTTGTGAACCAGATAATACTACTGATGACGACGATGATGATGATGATGATGATGATAGTGATAGTGATGAAGATGTCTCTCTCCTCTGCAGCCCTCAGCTATCTCAGGACACACCAGAAGTACAGGAAGTGACATCATCAGAGGACAGCCATCAAGTTGAGGATGCTCCTGAGTCATCCCAACGGCATGAGGAAGAGGAGGAGAGCTGCCTGTGAAGGCTCCGCTGCCTGGGTTGTTTAAACATGGGTTGTTTTTACTCACAGTTATGACTGTAAGGCGCCAAAGGAAACAGGATTGTTTACATGTTTGTGTTTGTAAACAGGAAACAGAACTCTTCTTCCAGCAGGTCCTGAGTCAGTTTAATGACATTATAATCTGCAGCTGTATATTCTGTATTTACTTTGTGATATAATCTGCTGCATCTTTATTCTAACTGCTTTTAGACAAACTGATCAGAGTCAGAACGTTTTATTAAAGATACTTTTCAGAATAAAATCCTCTCAGCTTGTCTCTGTCTTTCATTAATTATTATTTTAACTGAAGGTTTCTGATGTGTCTCCTTTATAAAGACTATAATCCATGAGATTATTTATCACCTGGGTCCAGTATTTCAAAGTGATCTGATAGGATTATCCTGGCTGGATTGGATTAAATCCTGATCTGATCTGAAAACTGGGTATTTCAACACAGATCCTGAGGATCAGGATTCAGATCTGGTAATCCAATCCTCCCTTTAATCCAGATAAAGGCTGCATTTGGGTATTTCAAAAGTTAAGGCAGAGATCTGGATCAATTTGATACCAAATTTCAGGATTATTTGGATCCCACCTCAGAGGTGGATTTGACAAAGCCTCAGCTCCACTTCTCCTAGATATTGTTACTCATGATGTTCATTACACTTAATCTAAATTAGTGTTTTAGTTGTAAGTAATTTCAAGCACAGACAAATATTGTTTGGCCATACTTCCTAAAACTGCTGTAAGTAAGAGTAACAAATACAGACCTATTTCTCAACGTCTAGTTTCACCTAACAATGAGCGCGTTTACATGCGCACTAATAAACCGATCATCATCTGATTTCTGGAGTTACCTGATTATTCAAGTGGTCATGTAAACAGCATAATCCGATAGGCTTTATCAGATAAAAGCCATTGTCTGATTATGAGAAATCAGATAAACGCACCTAGCTTTTTCCCCAATAGTCAGATTATTCGGTGCATGTATACCCTTTAATCTGGTTTCTTTCGGGTTTTGCTATTTTATACTCCCACTCCACTACATTTTAGAGGGAAATATTGTACTTTCTACTCCACTACGTTAATCTGACAGCTTTTGTTTCCTTTCAGATAAAGATTTTACATAAGATAATATATTTTTATATTCTCAGTGTTTAAATTGTCACTTTTATTTTATTTTATTTATATGTTATGCACTTTGTGTGACAAGTTTATATACAATACACTTGTATATTGCACTTTGCAGTACTTCTACTACGAATCTACCCAAAGTATGTAAAACTGGCTCCACACTGATAAACTACACATTAGAATGCTCTCACATGTATTTGTTAATGATAAAAACAAACAGTACTGTAAGAATATAAGCTGTCAGCATGATGAGTGCTTTATTTTGCAAATATATGACGCGTACTTTTCGAGGTTTTTCAACAATATGAGTACCTACTGTAACAAGAAGTTTGAGTTTTATGTCATGTACTTGAGGAGAAATCCAACTGAAGGACCGAATCATGTAAACCAGGTTTTTCTGATTATCAGATTATTGAAGTGCACATAAAGACGTCAAATCGGATTATTACCATTACCTGATTATTCACAGTTATCTGATTATTGTGCACATGTAACTGTGCTCATTGTAACTTGTTTGTACCAAAACATCCAACATATGTTTGTGGTCAGACAAAGGCAAGGAAATGCAATGCACATTTATTTGTATAGCACATTCTTTTCTTTACAGAGAGTGACAGAAACAACACAGGGATTAACATAATAAGCACATGGACAACAACTCAGTCCTCTGACACTTCTGAATGAACCACATAATTCATACTAGTACTGTGTATTTTTCCTATACTGCAGCAGTTTGCTCTGCACACATGTAAATTTAAAAAAAAAAAAAAAAAAGTCTGCTGTGTTGGCAATAACATGACGTTAAACTCTGAACAGGTTGGTGTTTAAAGAGTTCATGTATGCAAGTTCATGCAAGTCAATGGAGCCACGTCAGCTACCGTTAGCATGACCTCAGCTCAATTAGAGATCGGTACGGCCACATTTGAAGTAGGTAACAAATCAAATAGCTGGCTCGCATCAGATGGTGGGTGGCCTTTGTACGGTCTTAACCCTATGGGCCCTAGGCGTTTTTGGGGTATTTTTACTGCCTTTACTTTTGAGCTCATATCACAGTCATTATAAAGGCTACATCTTGTTTTTTTCAGGACAGTGTGGGCTATCCAGATTTGCCATCATTTCATGTCCTTCTATGTGCCTGTATTTTATATTAATTTTTATATCAATGAAAAAAACATGTGTTACTAAATTCTTACATTTTTACATGTATCTCACCATAGCAAGTTGGAAAAAGACATATTCTGCCATATATGAAGAGGGGAGACTCTCTGGAATCTGGCAATATAAGAACCATGATGCTGGGACATTCTGTCACTTCACAGCTGTCCAAAACATGTGGTTTGTGCCAGGCGGACATGATTGTCAGTATTTTTTCATTATTGCAAGAAATTCCATTGACTCATTCACAAGTCAAAAATGTGTTTTATCTGAAAGAAACATGCAATATTTACATCTAAGATAATAGAAAAAATAGTCAACCAAGTGCAATGATGTCCTCCAAGATAATATTTGCCACTTTGTTTGCAGTAAACAAAGTTTGTTGTTGTTTTTCAGTTTCAGTTATATACTGGGGGGGCATTTTGGGCATTGGGGGGACACATATCACCCTCAATGTATATGGTGACCACGGCCCTGTCAGCATGCATAATTAGGCTGCAGTTGTCTGGGTGCACAAAGGTGAAGTACGCTGGTCTTGTCATACAAAGTTTGATGGAGTGTCAACTGGACAATATGGAGATATTTGCATCTTGAAAGCCGGACTACAAATGTGGATAGACAGGGAGAAACACACACAAGCCTAAGACGTGGTAAGATACGATATTCCTCACTATATGAAGTGACTGATAACAAGATCTGTATAATGGATTGTAAAGAAATTCGTCAGGTTTTAATTTTGTAGACAATTAATCTGTATTTACAGCGTGATGGGATGACAGCACAATGATGTGTGGTATCACTAGAAAGCTCTGCTCCTGTGCTTTCATGTGATATTCCTGGCATTTCTGTGCGACCCTGCATTCCCGAGTAATCCATCCAAGAGTAATGTGTGTGCAGAGCTGCATGAAAGCTCTGTTATACATCATTTTAGTGTAACTCTATCATTGTTTTTTTGTTGTTTTTTTTACCGACAAGTGCTTGGTCTTGTCAGAAAGCTACGATTTCGCTGTTTCACGTGATATGTGTGGCTTCTCGCTATGACGCACGGTCGTGGAGAAAATTAATAGAGAAGAACAGGTGTGAATTTGGACGCACTATGCGTCGTTTGGGCCCGTAGGGTTAAAAACGCTACACATTAGGTAACGGTAAATTTACATTTTGATGTGAAAGCTGTGCTACCAACTGCTCCTTTTGTGAAGTAGTCCGCCATAGAGACAGAGCACCACGCGTCATAATCTGAAAGCCACGCCCCCAAAGGGGAAACGTTTCAGATCCGGGGGCGGAGTCATGAGATTTGGAAATCTGTATCCAGTCAGACTGGGATCAAAGTGATCCACCCTGCCAATGTTTTGAAATACTCTGATAAAGTCAGCAGGGTCACCTTGATGCCTGACTGAGAACAGGAGGATTTCATTATCCAGAAGTTTTGAAATACTGGGCCCTGGTGTCCTGATGAAGCCAATCAGTTTAAACCTTCAATAAAACCAATAAAACCTGAATATTCTGAATGAAACTTTATTAGTGTCCTGGCAGCTAATCTGCCAGGACGCTATTGTAATCCTAGGTATTCTCCTTCTTCTTCTTCTTCTTCTTCTTCTTCTTCTTCTTCTTTCTTCTTTCTTCTTCTTCTTTCTTCTTCTGAGGAAATCATACTTCCCATGGGTGAAAACTCACCAAACTTTGCACAAAGGTCCAGTCTCATGCCAGATATCCTCAGCTGTAAACTCAAGCCAATAGTCCTGATGGTGGCGCTACAGCAAGCGTCTAAAGTTCAAAACTTTGAACTTTGAAAAACATGCTACAACTTAACAACTTTCATCAAACTGTAGCCCCAGTACTGAAGAAACTTTTGTACATTTAAACCTATTAAAAATTATGAAGTTCATCACAATGTTTTTTTCAAAAATTGTAGAACTTCTTAAACCTATCTCCTCCCACAATTTTTGCTCAGTTGACACCAAACTTGCTACAGAGCAGCTTCAGACTGTATGTTTGACTGTAAACAGTACTGTAAACATATACATGCAAATTCTTGCTAAATAAATCTTCAATGTTCATGAAAAAATGACAAAATTCTAGAGTCATGGTAGATGATGTGTGGCAAATTTCAGAATTTTATCTCAAAAGCTGAATTTTGAATTTTGCTCTAATGTGAACATTTGGAGTCAATGTAAAAATGGCAATTTTAAACATCAGTTTTTCACTTATGGACCAAATCAATCACTGTTACAAACAAATTACCAACATCTCCATGCTGTCTAGATGCAATACATGTATTTTCAGGTTTTTGTTTCGATAACTGAATTTTTTTACAGTGGTTTGAAATCTGCTTTTCCATGCATGGACGGCTGCTAAACCTGCACGTCTGGCTTAGTCAGTTTGTGAAGCTACACATGAATTGTCACTGACTAATTAGTTCAGTGAGATAGAAATTGATTCTTAGTCTCAGAGGTTGTGAGTTCAAGCCTCAGCTGATGCAAAAGGCTGATTGTGTTGCCAAATGTCTTCCAATTCTTCTGCTTGTTGCTCAGAATTGCCTAAAAATGCCCGGACCCGACCCATCGCTGCGCAGCAGCTATAATTAAATCTGATGTTTATCATAAAATTTAAAGTTAGAAAGACATATTTCAGATTTTAAACCAGCTGTTCTCACAGTTCCTACATTTTCCTACAAAAAGTCATGTATTAGAATGTAAAATATTCAGCAGAGAGCCACCTCCTCCAACAAAACTACAAACACTGATTCATTTTTCTGTGCTCACCCTTGACTCCGACATCTAGTTTCAAATTCCCGACTGTTGATGAAATATCTGATGTTTTTCCAACCTGATCTCACAGAAATACGTGAAATGACCACGACCTCTTAACAACACATTCCGTGGTGGCAGCACGTAATGGGTTGAAATTACATGCCAGTACCACGGAAACAATGCTAATGTAAAGTCAATTAGGATCCATTGTCGTGGTGGACAC